CGGCCTACGAAGGGTTATAGGGGAAGGTAGCTCGCCAAGACATCACCATCTTGTGCCTACGTACTCTCAACAGGCATGAGAGATCAGAGCTCACGTAGTTCGGAAAACTACGGTTTATTTCCTGTCTTTTACGAAAGAAGTGTTTTTTATTGTGTTTGCGATTTCAATCGCACCATACTAAACATCCAGACTGTGGAAAAGAAACTCTCCCACAATCCTTTCTCAGATAGCTTAAGGCTCGTAACGTACGAAAGAAATCATTCATGATTACTGTGTCTTAAACTGTTTTAAGATGAGAAGAGAACAGGCCCAACTAGGAGGGAGACTATCAAGTCCTACTGTTATCATGCCATGGATTCATCCTATGGTCAGGGTTTGAACAGGGAACTCCTAGAAGTTGTCAGGCATAGGTTTCAACCTAAAATTCTATCATCAAATCCTTATCAAAGGAAATGAGAGTCCTAAGGGATCATGTCAATGATACACCAAAACAGACAAAGCATCAGCTTAACAGTAAAATGCATGCAATGCAAGTGAGGGAGGAAATATGTGTGGGGCTTCAGCCTCCACAAGCTCATCTCAACCTCAAGCCAGAATGAAATAACAGTAATCATACTGAAATATAAACAACATGCTATCAAGCAATAACAGTAAACTACAATCATACAGATAAAATGAAAAGAAAGGCCATCAGGCAAACAAACCACATGGGCAAGGGAGCTGAGCTCTACCAAATACCCGCAAGCAAAGCCACACAGTAACAATACAAGCAGAGGGAGCAACTCAACCTCTAGTGCAATCATGCTCCTAGATTCTACTTATTCTAGATATGAACATATTCTAATGCATCAAACAAGTCAAACAAAACACAGCAATACAGAAAAGAAAAAGAAAGCAGACTCCTCTCTCAACTCCAAGCTTCAGCTCTTCCAACAGCAATCTAGTCTTCAGACTTCAATCACTCTTGCCAAACATCAGTTTGCTTTTCCAGGTTTCCAACCCTACAAAATAAGCTTCAACTTATCTTCTCCTTTAAGCTTCAGCTTCTTTGATCAGCTCCACCTTCAGGCTTCACCATCAATCATGAGTATCAACTTGGCTCCTTCAGGATCTCGAGGTATCAAGGTAAGTATCAACTTGCTTTGTTCTCCAAGCTTCAGCTGGAATGGCAATACTCAATGATTCATCATCTTCCACACTCTTCAATGAAGTCTTCATCTTCAAACTCAAGCTCAAGACAATCAAACCAGAGAAAAATCATTTACTGGATAAGCTGGGGGATATTGAACTGCTTATTTGACCACCAAAGGTGACCTATAAGGGTTCAACATCAAAGGAATGGTTCCCTCAAAAGTTCTACTTCCTAGGTACATCACTTATCCCTCCAAAGGAGAGAAGTGTATATCATGGAAGGACTTTGAATCATAGGGAGGAATGGAGGTGAAAGATACCATCCATGTTTAAGAAAGAAGTTGTCTAAGTCTAAACTCTTCCTAATCCCTAACCCTAAAACAACAAAAAAAAGAAATAAGATCCAGCTCTCAAGCTCCTCAATCCATCTTCAAGTCTTCTACTATGCTCCTCAATGCTCCTTAGAACAAGATCAAGCTCTCCAAGCCCACAAAGCAAAGCAACTAAAGCAAACATGCCCTAAAGGCAACACAAACAATCAACCAATACAAAAATCAACTAAAAATAGCATACTACTATATTAAATCCTAATATAATTTCTAAGGGATCCTACATACCTACCCTTAATACCCATATATGCCCCCATAGTCTAAATTGTCCTAAAAACCCAAAATTCTAAAGTTATTATGGACCTATGTTGAAGTTTTAACCTAATTCTACACAACCTAGAATTATCTAATCAAAACTATCTTAAAAATCACCACAAAAATATGTAATAAATCCAGGGGGAAGCTAAAACCTATATCTAACTATTCTAAAAAGAATGAATTAAAAATATTAAGGGAGCTACCTAAACTAAATTCTACAAAATCATATATCAATATACAAGAATTAAAAAGCAATAAAAGAAGAAAATGTGCAAAAAATACTAAAATGAATGATATGACAAATGTTTTTGTTTTATATTTTTCTAGACAAAAATATGAAAAGGGAGAAAAAACCCCCATTAAAAAATCTTGAATTTCCAATTTATTATGATTTTCAAAGTATGACATAAAATGGAATAAAAATAAGATGAAAAATGAAGCATGGGTGCAATCAGTAACAATATCCAATGCAATGCGCGCTTGGGCCCAGACATGGGGGTGTAAACAGAAAAGCGCGCTGGGCCCATTTATTCAGAAAAATCAATTGAGAAAATCAAAAGAAAATAAAAAAACTATGGTGCGAAAAGCAATGCAAATCAGTTATAAAATGAAGTGGGCCTGATAGGGGGTGGGTATAGCATTGATTCACTTAAGCCCAGAAACCTTGCTTTAATGAAACGCAGCGTTTCACACGCTCAGGGTTCCCTCCAAAAACGAAATCAAACGTGAGCCTTTGGATCTGGTCTTTGGTCAAGGGTCAAGCGCTTCATCCAACGGCTTGGAGATCGTCTTCTTCCTAGCGCTAGGGTTTCGCTGAAACCTCCATGAAACTCAGAACTCATGCACATATCTTACATCCCTTCGTACTCCTTCATTTCTTCATCAATTTCCAAGATGTAAAACACAAAGTTGATCCATTTTTCATGCTGAACATGATCCTAATCTTGGAATGCATTGAAATGGCCTATAGCATGCAACCCGATGGTGTAACCAAGCTAATCTCAAAATATGATCCATACTCAACTTCAACCAAACTCAAATTTCTTTACATCAAAATGATCCTCGCATTCCACTAATCAAAATCAGCTGTTAAACTAGCATTATCATTCACTATATCACTCATTCTTGCTCCATCAAGAAATGATGTCCATGGCTGAAACTTCATCAAATGCTTTCAAACTCTCCAAAACTGATCACCTAGTTGTCTCTAACAATTCTATACTAATAACTTACCCTAACCATGCCTAGATTATGAGGTGAAAGAGATTTTGCAAACCTGGCTTCTTGATATGGTAGATGATGAAATCCTTGCTTTCAAGGCTTGAAACTCTTCAAGAATGGTCCTTGGGTGATGAAACCTCTTCTGTTTGCAAAAGATTCGAAGGAGAGAGCTTGTACTTCAAGATTCGATGGTAATTGCCTTCTTGCAAATTCAATGGGAACACCTTCAATCTTCCATCAATGGAGCTTCAATTCAGCATGCACACACTCAAAAGGATCTATGGAAAAGGTTTGTGGAGAAAAATGGGATGGCAATGAAGAAGAATGAAGAGATTGAATGTGACTTGCAATGGAAGCTTTTGGATTTCACTCTCTCTTCTCTACACCAATTAACACCAACCTTGCATCTGAGCAAGTTGTATTCATCTTATAGAGTGGTTTAGAATCATCTAGAACCCCCTAGAACAATCCAATGAGAAATTGATCTTTTCATGTCATGGTATTTTGATTTCTCATTCTCCTTACATGGTATCTCATGCCTTGCATCTCATAACTACCAATTCTGACTTGAATTTATCCCCACATGAGATTTAGGGTAAGTTACAATGCATATCTTCCTTGTTTATTGAGTTTTGCCTTGTTTTGGTTTGGTACCTTAAGATGCAAGTAATCAAATTCCAAAGCAGCCCTATGATGCAAGACTCAAATCAAAATTGTGGCTGAACCATTGTTCTTAGAATGTCATTTGGAGTCAAAATGACCTATTACATGACATGATTTGGACTTATAACTTGTGATTTCCATTTTTCAAATTCACTTTAATTAACTTATGCCTCATTTTTAGGCCATTTTTATCACTTTTTGATATGAGCATTTTCAACATCTCAAGACCTCCCTACTAGCCTTAAAACATCATTCTAAGAAAGTTTGATGTTGAAGATTTTTCCATTTGAAGCTTGGAAGTAGGAGATATGGCCTTATGCTTGAAATGACCTATAACTTCCAAATGACCAAAATGCCCTTGGCTTGTCAAAGCCATAAGTTGAGTTCTACAAATCCTATCAAGGACTTCTAGTACTATCTAGAAAGCTAAGAAGATTCTCTTCAACATTTATGTTGACCAAGAGTTCATAGGAATCATCCTACTAGGGAAAAAGTTGGATGCAAGTTGGGTGACTTTCAAGGACCCAGATTCACATACCTCAGATGACCTGTAATTTGTCAAAACCATAACTTGAGCTCTGCAAATCCTATCAAGGACTTCTAGTACTCAAATTAAATCTAAGAACAAGCTCTACAACATTCATGTTATGGGGAAGATGATATGACAATCACATCTTGAGCTACATTGCCTTGAAGATAGGGATCAAACTAGGGGATTTTACACTGTCAATCCTGAGAAACCCTAGCTTGAAACTTCTCAAACTCCTCAATCATGATGAGTTGGTCTAGGAATCATCCTTATAGTATCTCAATACATCATTCCATGATAACATGGCTCTTGGATTAGGTCTCAACCCTCTCCAAATCTTCAGTTGACCTAGGGTTGACCCAGTCAAAACCCTAATTCCACCACTCATGGCTGAATCTTCTGAATTCTTGTACAATGACCTCTCTAGGCTTCATGATGGCTTTCAAGACATCTCATAAGCTTTCTCAAGGCTTCAAGTCCATCCCCATAGTCTCAGAATCATCTGAGGAGCTCCCACAACTCTCAAGTTATGAGATACACAACTTTGGTTTCAACCAATTTCTCTGAGGATCTCTTGAGTTCTCTGACAAAGGTATCAACCTTTGAACACTTGAACAAACTTCTTGACTTTCTTCATAGTCTCATACAACTCTTGATGGGTAAATAAATGTTGGTCAAATTTTGGGGTGCAACAAGGCTGCTAAACGGAAAACAACAGAAACTGCTGAGGCGGCTAATTAAACAGAAAACAGCTGAGGCAAAGAGACCCTAAACCAATGAGATACGAATAAAAACATTAATATCATTATTTACAAAACAAACATATATGAACTGCTTTGAATTACCTCGGGAATATTACCGAATGATCCAGGGTTGCAAGAACCTTTATCACTTAACTCTTGCCTTTGTGTCCCTTTTTCAGGCTGTTGCAAGCTCTTTGACACTTGTTCAGGTTGTTGCCTCTCTGCCACATCTTCAAGTTGTTGCAAGCCCTGTGTCCCTTTTTCAGGCTGTTGCAAGCTCTTTGACACTTGTTTAGGTTGTTCTTTCTCGGCCACTTCTTCGGTTTTTTGCCTCTCTATCTTCTCTCTATCCAACTTATCTCTCTCCAGCTTCTCTCTCTCTAGCACCTCCAATCTACTTTTGAGTGTGTTGCAAAAGCCATACAATCTTTGAAAGTCCATTTGTGTGGGGCGAATTTGGCGTGGAAATATGTCCCTAGAACATACCCCAAAACCGTAACTCCTAATACGCCCATAGTAGTTTGGGAGATTTAGAGCCTCGAATAATATGTCCGTAGGACCAAGGTCTTGTCTCTCTTCTTCAGTTATAGCTTCTGTTAACTTCTCTTGACATCGATAAGTATAAAAGACTTATTAAAAGAAAATCAATTTGAACACTTTCATTAAGATTAACCGAGATCCAAAATATTTTCAATGATCCAAAATATTAACATTCGACTTACACATTGATCCACAACTCTTTGAACATTCTCATTATCAATCACCCCATTCTTATTGACGCGGGCATCCTTCCACACTTGACTGCGATTTATCTCATCTTCTCCCGACTCTTCTACCTGTATATACATTTTGACAAATTAACATAGCAATTAAAAAAATAATTTATAATCTTGTACACTACTTTTATACACATACTTACCATATCAGCTTCAAGACGAGCACACCCTAAACGTGACTTTCTATAGGGATGTTGAGGATTTAACGCTCTCGATTTTCACTACTAACTTTCTACATTAAAAGCACTATAAGACATTAGTAGTAGTGTTACTGTTTTATACCTTTGAGTTTTGATTAATTATGCACAGAGGATAGAACCAAAAACATGGAGAATCCTGCAAAAAGATTTAAGACCTCAAATGCGGGAACATGTCCAAGTATAAGCCCAAAAGAACACCAAGTGTTGAATTTATGTAGAAAATCAAGAGCAAGAAAAGGTCCTGCTACTGATTCTCAAAGCATTTATGCAAGAGTAAGTCCTCTTAGAAATTTATTTCTTTACTGCGTATTTCAATTCGCAAATAACTAGTATTTCTTCTTTTGTTGTGTAGAGGAGAAGAGAAAGAATTAATGAAACAGTAACGCTATATGAAATATTTTACTATTAAAACAATAACAAATGCATGTATGGAAGCTAGGAGTAATGGTGATAACAAACACTGTATTAATTTCAAACATTGTTGATAATTAAATCCAACAATGTTGATAATTAAATCCAACAATGTTGAGAGTCCTGTATTATTCAGATGTCACCAGGATGATCATAGGAAATTATGCAGATTAAATATTCACAAACATTGATAATTTGATGTTGTTTTTTGTTACAAGGAGATCATAGGCAATATCTCTTTGTAAATTTGATGCAAAGGAGAGCATTGTTTCTGTTACAAGGTATCTAATTCAATTTGTCCCTCTAGTATCCGTTACAGACGGTACGGTATCGGAGGCTATTACATAGGCATAAGAGGAGAGATAAATAATGACAAGTTATTACCTGAAATTTTTCATTCTGACGCTGAGCTACAAATTTATCCCAATCCTCTTGTTTTACACAGTAAGAATATTTTGCCGGTCGATGTTTAACAAAACCACCCTTACTATCTCTTATATAGAACTTTGCCATTTTTGTCCTGAATGCCCTGTGCAACTTTCCATCTTCTTTATATATATATATATATATATATATATATATATATATATATATATATATATATATATATATATATATATATATATATATATATATATATATATATATATATATATATATATATATATATATATATATATATATATATATATATATATATATATATATATATATATATATATATATATATATATATATATATATATATATATATATATATATATATATATATATATATATATATATATATATATATATATATATATATATATATATATATATATATATATATATATATATATATATATATATATATATATATATATATATATATATATATATATGCACGATGTTCTTCGCCAATTACAAAAGCTTTCTGCAAACAACTCAATTTATTAAAACACTGTTTAGGTTACTTAAACATCCAAACAGATAACTTATGGAATTAAAATTTTACAACAAGCTTGAGTTAGTGTGTTACTTCAATTTCATCCCAAATGTTTTGTTTATAAACCCCTACAGCCTCTTTATTTTCTTTCGCACTCCAATTGTCCAAACTAATTGGAACTAACCGACGAACCGTGACACCAATATAACTAGCAAAACTCTTGCTATTATGCTTGATTGGTTGACCTCTTGCATTCCATTGAACCTATAACAAAATTAGAGTGAAATTAAATAATCATCAATCTCACTAATATTCTAAGACAATCAGAGCTCTCATCAATCTCAATAATCATCATCTAGCTATTTTACCTCAATCCTCTTTCCATTGCTTTTGGCTTTGTGAATTTTTTGCAACAGAGTCACACCACGTTTACCAACTGTTTTCGTACTAGACGAACCACCTTCATCATTAGTAGAAACCATATTTAACCTGTAAAAAGTGTAAGAGCTAGTATTATATTTGTGGTTGCGGTTACTAATGCAAATTCAGACAAACATAAAACACAATTAAAGACAATTTTATATAGTAAGAGCTAGTATTATATCATTCTTAAACAACATTTTTATTCACTCACATTAAAGACAATTTTCAAGTGATTCCACAAATTTTCAAGTCGGCCTTTTCCTCTTCCTTGTAATTGGATTCCTACTTTTGGGTTTTCTTGATACAACAAATGATGGGTTGATCCAAATCCCATCATTGTGATCGTTTCTCATATAAATAATATCATCTACAATTAGTTCATCCTCAAGGGATTGTGATGTATTAAAGAAAGGATCATCCTCAACATCTATACTTTGAGTTTTTTGATCATTTATTTTGTTACTTAGAAACACAATAGACCATTTTTCATCGGCAGGATCAGTGACATAGAATACTTGGTGAGCTTGTGATGCCAAAATAAAAGGCTCGTCTTTATACCCCACTTTATTAAGATCGACCTTCATGAACCCAAGGTCAACTTGAAGGCTATTGTTGTTGTCAACCCACTTGCAACCAAACACAGGCACTTGAAAGCATGAGTAATCCAACTCCCAAATACGTTCAATGACCCCAAAATATGACAATTTGGAAAATGCAGGATTTCTATCTTTGGAACTTGAGATATACACAGATTCAGCTACGAGTGTGACACCGCTATTTTGCATAGTGCTTTGATGATCATGTTCTTTCGTATAAAATGTATACTTAGTAATTATATAACCTGAGTACGAGAGAACATGTGAATTTGGACCATTTGCTAGCCATCTCAATCTTTCGAAAATTGAAGCAGGATTTTTGGCAAATTCTGAAAAAATGTGTTCTTTTAGCCACGATATAAAACTTTTATTGTGCTCTCTTGTTAACCAATTTTCACTCCTGTTAGGGTTCAAACTTTGAAGGATTTCCTTGTGCTTTTCAACATATGGCTCAACCTCATCCCCATTGTGTAGTACATACAAGTGTGCTTGCTCCAATTCGATGTCTGACATGGTGACTAGTTTACTTGCACCAATCCCTTCCCCTATTGTTTTTCCAGAGTGTCGTGACATTGGAAGCCCTGTGGAATCAACATTAGAGAGGTATTCATTACAAAACTCAATAGCTTCTTCAACTAAATATCGTTTAACAATGCAACCCTCTGGTCGACTTTGATTCTTCACGTACCCTTTTATTATCTTCATGTAACGCTCAATCGGGTACATCCACCTCATATAAGCTGGTCCACAATATTGTATTTCCATGATAAGATGGACGGTGAGATGAACCATTATGTCAAAAAATGAAGGTGGAAAATACATCTCAAGCTCACATAATGTGACAACAATTTTCTTTTGTAATGTCGGCAACTTCTCAGGGTCAATAACTTTGCTACAAATAGCTTTGAAGAAAAAACAAAGTTTAGTTATGGTTCATCGCACATTTTCTGGTAAAATGGAACGTATAGCTACCGGAAGAAAGTTCTCCATTAAAACATGACAATCATGAGACTTTAAACCCTTCAATTTGAGATCTTTCATAGATACCAAACTCTTTATGTTTGATGAGTAGCCCTCTGGAACTTTAACATTCTGAAGAACCTTACACAAGATCTTTTTCTCTTTTCTTGACAGAGTATGAGCTGCTGGAGGTAGAAATGTACGCTTACCCTCCCTCTTAACCGGCCCCAATTCATTTCTTAATCCCATACTTTGCAGGTCTAACCTTGCCTTAAGGTCATCCTTAGACTTTCCTGAAAGATTGAGTAATGTACCAACAACACTTTCAAAAACATTTTTTTCAATATGCATCACATCTAGGAAATGTCTAACATACAATGACTTCCAATACGGCAATTCAAAGAAAATTGACTTTTTTTTACATCCCCCCGTGGCAAGTTCACTTGAAAAAGGCTTCCCAAAATTAGTGCTCAAAAGCTTTACCTTTTGGTATAATTGATCGCCCGTCAAAGGCACGGGAGCTCTTTTTTCTTCAGATTCACCATTAAATGCTTTTCCCCATTTTCGAAAATGATGGTTGGTATTTAAGAATCTACGGTGTCCAAGAAATACATTTTTCATACAATGATCCAACCGTATTGAATGTGTATTATCTTCACATACGAGGCATGCAAGTTTTCCTTTGACACTGTAGCCTGATAGATTCCCATATGCAGGAAAATCATTGATTGTTCCAAATAACATAGCCCTCAATTGAAAGGATTCCTTTTTATACTCATCATATACCTCTACACCTGCCTCCCACATATGCTTTAAATCTTCAATTAATGGAGCCAAGTATATGTCTATATCATTTCCTGGTTGCTTGGGCCCAGAAATTAACATAGTCAACATCATGTACTTGCGCTTCATGCATAGCCATGGAGGTAGGTTATAAATCAACAAAATCACCGGCCAAGAAGTAAGTTTACTACTTTGAATACCATGAGGGTTTATTCCGTCAGTAGACAATGCGAGACATAGGTTTCTTTCTTCCTGCCCAAAATTTGGGTAATCATGATCAATTTTTCCCCATTGAGGAGAATCTGCAGGATGTCGGAGCATTCCATCAACAACCCTTTCTTTTGCATACCATGTTAAGTTCTTTGCATCTTCCGCATTATGATACATGCTCCTAAATCTTGGTATTATCGGAAAATACCATAGCGTTTTGGCTGGAGTTGTTTCTTTCTTCTTATATTGTGGGGCACTACATTTAGGACACATATATAATGATGCATACTCATTGCGAAATAAAATGCAATCATTAGGACAAGCATGTATCTTCTCATAACTCATTCCAATAGAACATAACAATCGTTTAGCCTCATAGGTTCGACTAGGGAGCACATTATTCGTAGGCAAAATCTCATTTAACAGAGTCAACAAGTCTGTGAAACTCCTATCAGACCATCCATGGCGTGCTTTTAAGTTATACAATTTTAAGACCATAGACAATCTTGTAAATTTAGTACATCCTTCGTACAATGGAGTCTCTGCATCACTTACTAGCCTCTCAAACATTTGAGGACAATCGCGAAGATCTTCTTCAATTACATTCACAAATTCTTCAACTCGATCAAACTCAT